AGGAGGTCTGGGCAGCCTCACCTGGCAGCCTGCAGGGTGGGGCCTCTGCATGGGGGTAGCGTTCTCCCACACTGACCAGTTCTCAGCCAGCAGCTCTGGAGATGGGCAGCCTCTCCACGTGGTCCGAGGTGACCTCTCCTCTTGGGTCTTGGGACAGGTCTGCGTGTTGTGTCACCTGCTTGCCAGGGCGTTGGCTCTGCTGGCTGTCCCGGTCGTGTTGTACCTCCTGTTCTTCTACATCCACTTGACTCTGCTCTGCCGCTCTGGGCCCCACGACCAGATCATGTCCAGTGCCTTCCAAGCCAGCTTAGAGGTGAGCAGGAGGATGCCGCGGCCGCTTGAGAAAGGTGCTGGTAGACCCAGCGTTTGTCACATGGACCTCACCATGTGAGCGCCAGCACCTCTGCGCTACTCCGGATGTGCCGGTGGTGCAGATGAGGAAGGGCTGGCTCTCCGGGGCCTTCAGTCCGACCTGCTTGAGAGTACTTTATTTAATTTTTTTTAAGAGAGAGAGTTTTGTTATTGGGTGTGTGCACTCACCTGAGAAGCAGAGAAAGAGACAGAAAGGGAGAAATCATCCCCCGGTGGGGATGGCCATGCCACAATCTCTTCTCCATTCTCTTAGGATTTGGGACACGCATGCAAACACGCATGGCATGAGTTTTAAGCCACCGGGTCTGGGGCTGCAACTGCAGTGGGCCATGTGGGAGTCCAGTGACGTAATCATTACGCCATCTGCTGGTCCCTGGGGAGGATTGGAAAGTCCTCAGAGCTCCGGGCACTGCCAGGTGCCTCGTAGGAGGGGCTTCACTCAGGCAGTCGCTCGTCTGGACTTTGCCACAGGTGTGCAGTGGCCCACCACGGTGGCGAGGGATGTGGCCGGAAGGCAGGCTGGCCCACTCTCCTGTCCTGGCTTGGCCAGTGGCCAGCTCCATGCGTCTGGACAGATTTCTCATCTCTCCCCATTCTCTGTGTTCTTACCCCTTAAATAGACTTAGCAGCCGCCCTTTCCTCGGGATGTGCGAGGGCCGGCTCACTGGGTACCCCCAGCGCAGCAGGCGGGCAGAAGCAGCCTTGGCTATGGTGGGTGACACGATGGGGAGCGACCGTGCGTCACCCAGGTGGCAGCGTGCCCGTCAGAGGGCCGGGTCAGGTTGTCCCCCGTCTCTCACGCTGACCTCTGCTTGTGCCTTAGGGAGGACTGGCACGAATCACCCGTGGCCAGCCGCTGGAGGTGGCCTTTGGGTCCCAGGTCACTCTGAGGAGCGTCTCGGGCAAGCCCCTGCCCTGCTGGCTTCATTCTCACCCGAGCACCTA